ATATAGATATAGATATATAGATATAGATATATATAGATATAGATATGTATATTATATTATTATATATATTTCCAAAGAATAGATCCAAGAGGTGGTAAATACAGAGAAAAGAGAAAAGGGCCGAATATAGAGCCCTGAGGCACTCCACAAGTAAGGTACGCTACAGAGGAATACACAGTTCTGACACAAACACAAAACTAATCTTTAGCAGGATCTAAACCAGTTTAAACTGGTCGAAACTTTGATGGGAGCCTGCGATGAAGTGAAGATTCACCACAATCTGCTGGCTTCCTTGGATAAATAACTTTTACTAACTTGCATTTTTTATGTTGTGAATGTTTCTGTTCAGTGCCCTGACATGACTTCTGTTGGGACTTGGAGCTATACAAATAAACTGAATTGAATTTAAACTTCAGAAACAGGGAAAGACTAGCTGGAGCAGAAACACATTAACTGGACTCTGTTTCCAGGCAGCAAACTCAAATTTCCCATTCTTGCTGAAAGCCTGAATGCAGCGTTTGTTCTTCAGCTCATTCACATGAAGAAGAAGAACTGCTGTCTGCTCAGACGAAGATGTGACACACACACAAATAACTCACCAGTGAATTTAAGCTGAAGCCTTGTTCCATGCTATGTATGTGTGTGTCTCTGTGTGTGTGTGTCAGTGGTGGCCCCACAGTCGACTGGTCCATCTGTCACCTCCCATGATGCTTCACTGCAGGGAGACAGAAAAACTCTTATGTTAAAACACAATCACGTGGGAGAGAGTCCTTCACTTGAGCTGGATTCATCATCATCATCACATCACAATAACCTTCATCACCATTGTCCTTATCTTCATCCATACATACTATTTTCTATATCACCAACATCTTCATCACTATCACCATCCCCAGTCCTCCCATAACTGGTTGCATGGTTACCATGACAACCACATGATGCAGCTGCAGTGAGTCAGCCACTGTAAAAACAAGACAAAGAAAAATGAAGCAGGCGAAGCCTAGCTGCATCATCTACTGTCTGCTGCTGCCACCAGGACCGCACGTTCCCTGACAAGTTATGTAGGGTCAGGCACCTGAGTCGTGTGGATCGTTCCCTCACATGATCTGTAGGGTCAGGCACCATCCCCTCCAAAAAAACTAAACTAAACAAAAAATCTCAACTTGTATGCATCCTTTATAATTGTCTATTATACGTATTATTGTCTTTGTTGTCCATTGTTGTCATCATTCTTTGTTAAATCAGGTCTCTCTTGTAAATCAGTCCCTGAGACTCAATGGGATAAACCTGTAGAAATAAAGGTTGAATGATCCCCTCCATAGGGTCAGGCATCTGAGCCGTGTAGACCGTCCACTCACATGTTCTGTATGTTCAGGCACCATCTCTACACATCTTCAACCAGGAGAGAAAATGGCGCTCTATTAATGTTGAAGAATTTTATTTAACTTGGAAAGATATTCTGCTAACATATAAAAAAGCTCTCCGTAAAGCTAGAACTTTATATTACTCATCTTTAATAGGAGAATAAAAATAACCCTAGGTTTCTGTTTAGTACTATTGCTAGACTAATTAAAAGTCCCATTTCTGTTGAACCATGTATCCCTACAACTATAAGTAGTGATGACTTCATGAGATTCTTTATAAATAAAATTATTTCAACTAGAGAGAAAATTCAAACCATCCTTCCTTCTACTATCTCTAGTCCCCTGTCAAATGAGGCAACTTTAAAAATTTCACTAGAGCCTGATTTATGTTTGGACAGTTTTTGTCCTGTTGAGCTCTGAATTGTCAAAAATAATAACCTCATCCAAACCATCCACATGCCTGCTAGATCCCATCCCAACCAGACTGTTTAAAGAGCTATTTCCACTAATTAATGTCCACATTTTGGATCTACTTAATTTGTCTTTAATGGATGGTTATGTACCACAGAGCTTTAAGGGTGCTGTAATTAAACCTTTACTTAAGAAGTCTGATCTTGATTCAGAAATTCTGGCCAACTATAGATCTATATCTAATCTAACTTTCATCTCAAAAATTCTAGAGAAAATAGTTGCAGGTCAGTTGTGTGAACATCTACAAAGAAATAATCTGAAGAGTTTCAGTCAGGGTTTAGAGCTCATCATAGCACAGAAACAGCACTAGTAAAAGTCACTAATGATATTCTCATGGCCTCAGACAATGGACTGGTGTCTCTACTGGTCCTGTTAGACCTCAGTGCTGCATTTGATACAGTTGATCACAATATTTTACTACAGAGACTTGAATATGATGTTGGGATTACAGGAACAGCTCTAAAATGGTTTAAATCATATCTATCTCATAGATTCCAGTTTGTAAATAATAAATCTTCTTCATACACCAAAGTTAGTCATGGAGTTCCTCAGGGCTCAGTGCTTGTACCAATATACTCTATACTTTATATATGCTTCCATTAGGTAAAGTTATTAAACAGCATGGGATAAATTTTCATTGTTATGCTGATGACACATAATTATATTTGTCCATTAAACCCAATGAATCCAATCAGCTACTTAGACTACAAGCTCCGTCTCGAACTTGTCCTAAATGCCGACAAAACCAAAGGGATGCTTTTTTCAAACAGAAAGTCAGTCCCAGCAGTTCTTCCTCTGATTTTATCCTCAAATGGTGTCCCAGTTGAGTTTGTTGATTCCTACAAATATTTGTGTATCTTGGTCGACTCACATCTCTCTTTTAAGCTCCATGTGGAAAACTTGGTAAAGAAACTGAAAGTTAAACTGGGTTTCTTTTTCAGAAACAGATCCTGTCTAACTCTGAATGTTAGGAAACACCTTGTATCTGTGACTTTCCTTCCCTCCATTGATTACGGTGACATTATTTACATGAACGCTCCTACAAGAACCCTGCAGATGTTGGATGCTGCAGATGTTGGATGCTGCAGATGTTGGATGCTGCAGATGTTGGATGCTGCAGATGTTGGATGCTGTCTATCATGGTGCACTAAGATTCATAACTGGCTGTAACTACTGTACCCACCACTGCACCCAGTATTCACTGGTTAACTGGTCACCATTAACTTCACACAGTCTCTCCCACTGGTACATTTTCATCTTTAAATCACTTCTTGGTCTGCTGCCTTCATACATCTCCTCCTACATGTCTCTGTGTGAGTGCAGCTACAGCGTGCGCTCTCAGGACATTATAGAGAATGGGATCGTGACGTCAGCCGACATGAAAACCACAATGCATTACTGGTACTGAGGACACTGAAGTGTAGGACCCTGAAAGGCGCTGTGCGATTTTGTTTCATACGTGAAATCACAAAGAAATTGTGAAACTTGCTATATTATCAACTGCCACAATCGTTCTCATGATCGTAGGGGGACACGTCTCGCAAATGGAATGAGTTTTTTCAGCTTTTCAGCTTGGAAACAACTCAGGTCGCCGAGCTAACAGAGACGTTGCTCGGCATGAGTTTCAGCTGTAAGACAAAAAACATCACCTTCAGTAATATTTCCCGACACGTTTGTGTGTTCACGGCATTTTCACAAAGGTAAGGATGAATCAAATGATGTTTCAGTCCTATGTGGTGATTGATTACTGCACATATGGTGATCAGAGTTGTTGACTTGTTTCTGTCTTAGCATCAGCAGCTAGCATGCTAACTTTACACAAGCTGCAGAGCTACATAAATAATCCACAAATTATGTCTATTTTTCAGGCAAACCATCTCATGAATGTCTTGAGTCATCTGGACTGGGCTCCTTACAATGCTGTACCTGTAACCCCACTGGATGTAGCTGCACAGACATCAGAGATGGATGAAGCTACACCCCCAGGTGTAGCTGCACAGGGTCCAGAGGTGGACAGCCGAGAATTGTGTAGCCACAGACGTGCTGAAATTAACTGCTTGCTGGAGGAGAACAGGAAATTGAAGGAAGAGCTGTCCTGAAAGAAAATGGATGAGTAATTCTTGCAAGATGATGTGATGGTCAGGTCATGGGCTTCCATGTTTGTGATGGTCAGGTCATGGGCTTCCATGTTTAGCTGTTTTGATGGGTGTGCTGACTCAGCTTCTTCCCCATCTACCACAGACAGCCTGAAAATGTTCCCCTTTTCAGATGTTCCTCCTAACTAATGCACCTGAGGCTGAATCTGCCAGTCCAGCACATTGCACACCTCTTCAGCATTGACCGACACACTGCGGTCATGGTTTTACTACAATATTGAGACCATGCGTTTTTCTTTGTCTAATAGACCCATTCACAGCCTACATCAGCAAGAAGCTGCACGCGCATCGTGGCAACGGAAGTAATGCTTCGGATAGTAAACCCAACATAACACAGAATCTAACACTAAATAAGTACCATCACCAGAATCAAAATGTCGGGTTGTTGCGTTTACGGTTGTTCAAACCAGTTTTCAAAGGACGGGCTTAAATTCTACCGTATACCAAGACGTAATCGACCATTTCAGAGCCACCGAAGGCGGCTGTGGCTTCAGGCTGTCAAACTGGTGGACTGTACTGCACGGGTCTGTGGTGCCCATTTTATATCAGGTAAGGCTGTGTGTCTATACTTTTATTTCAATAGAAACTCTTGTTATCAACAGTTGTTTGTAAAGCGTAGACCCACAGTTTATAACTGTTAGCTAGTTATTAGCTAGTTGCTAATAAACAAACGCGTACGCGTGTGCTTTCTTTACAGGGGAGGCATAGCTGGACTGGCAGAGTCCTGACTTTTTTCCTTCTGCGTTTGTGCACACACTAAACAAATTCAGAGACCGAGACAAAGATGGAAAGGTATAAATAATTAGCCTTGTCCTCTCTTTACTCTTTTTGGTTTCCTCTGTTCCATTTTCATGATACTTAATATGCATTGGTGCTGCTAGCTTTGGGAAAAAAAAAAACAACAGCCATTAGGGAGCACAAGCCAGTGTATCTCAGGTTCTGTTCCCGAGCCCGGGTAAATGGTGAGGGTTGTGTCAGGAATGGCATCCAATGTAAAACACTTTTGCCAAAACCATAATGTGAGTTCATCAAAGCGAAACCATAACGGATCGGTCGAGGCCCGGGTTAACAACGGCCTCCACCGGTGCTGTTGACAAACAGGGTGCCGGCGGAAATTCTGCTGTTAGTTGAAGACCAAGAGGAGGGAAATGTGTCAGGAGACAGAGGGAGAAGAGGAAAGTGAAGAATGTAGGACTAAGGGTTGCAACTCTAAATGTGGGGACAATGACAGACAAAGGTAGAGAGCTGGCTGACATGATGCTGAGAAGGAAGGTAGATGTTTTATGTGTCCAAGAGACCAAGTGGAAGGGCAGCAAGGCTTGCAGCATTGGAGCAGGGTTCAAACTGTTTTACCATGGTGTGGATAGAAAGAGAAATGGAGTAGAGGTGGTCCTGAAGGAGGAGTTGGCAAAGAATGTACAAACCAGATTCTAAAAAAGTTGGGACACTAAACAAATTGTGAATAAAAACTGAATGCAATGATGTGGAGATGGCAAATGTCAATATTTTATTCGTAATATAACATAGACGACAGATCAAAAGTTTAATCTGAGTAAATGTAACATTTTAAAGGAAAAATATGTTGATTCAAAATTTCACAGTGTCAACAAATCCCAAAAAAGTTGGGACAAGTAGCAATAAGTGGCTGGAAAAAGGAAATTGAGCATATAACGAACAGCTGGAAGACCAATTAACACTAATTAGGTCAATTGACAACATGATTG